GCCGGACACCATTGTCGCAAAACCGGACTGAACTTCTCTCTCTCCGTCGCCGTGAGTGCCTCCGTGTCTTTCGCCAACTCGATCAAGATATCGATGGGATCCTCGTCCACCTCCACGATCATGCTATCGACATGATCATGCCCTGTCTCTAACACCTTGGTAAAGGCAGTATTTTAGTTGTCCCTGTAGCCTTTCCTGCTTCTTTTCATTTGGTCTATGTTCTTTCATTTGGTCTCTGTTCTTATAAAAAGACTCTTTTGTAATAATGAGAGAGATTGGAAAGTGACCTTTTCTTCATTGGTTTGCCTGTGTTGGTGTTTTGTCTGTATCCTGAATCCTCTTGATTCAGGTGGTGGTTCCTGTTCATCTCTCTCTACAGAGAGTTATTCTGTTATCTCATCCCGTTCAAAGAATTTCTGTTTTACCGAGGAATACTTTGTTCTCTCTTCTGGCGGGGTCAGTGGATCTGATAAAACTGGCGAAAGTGACCTTCAATGAATTCTTCCAGATTCCGATGACTGCGAGAGATGAAAAATGGTGCACGATTTGGCCGAGGGGCTTGAATCGATCTTTAAGGAGTATACCTCCTTCGTTGCTTCATGCGGTGAGTGATTTTGTTTCTTATGACGTAAAAATTTCACTGTTTCTTCGAATTTCTGATTTGAATTTCGTCGCAGGGAATCGGCAGACCTACATGCCGTTCTTGCCGCCATTAACGCGATGCAATCAGGACTCGAAATTAACGAAACTGTGGAAGAAAGCGAAACCGTGCACAGCTGGAATGGAAACCGGACAGGCCGTCGTCGGCGGTGGAGGCCCGATCGCCGGAACTCCGTCGTGGAGGGCCTTGCGAAGTGAAGCCAGCGGGATTTCACGGAATGGTTACGGAGTGGTTTTTTAGAAATGAGAAATAGTTTTAAGTGGTATGTGTGTAAATAGAAAACTTTAGGTGTTAAATGAGTAAATAACATAGTTTTACGTGTTATGTATGTAAATAGAAAACTTTTGTTTGTAAATTAAACTAAACAAAATTATTAAGTGATTTTACAATAAATTAAAATAAAGTCTTATTTTAAATTATTTGGACACAGGTGAAAGTTGATTGCAACAATTATTTTAGAAATTTTTTTGGGCTTGAACGAATTAAATTTTTTTTTTTTTTAGATGTTATATCTCTCCAACACTAGCGACCCACTTTTAAGAATGGTGCTCTGCCATTGGATTTTGATGTCTTTGTGCATTTTATCGTAAGCTTATACACTTTTATATGTTAAATCTTAAATCTAAGATCATAGTTTGAGTCAAAACACTCAAGTTTCATTTGTGACCGCTTTACTAGTACTTTTTAAAGCAGCTTAATTTGATTGGTTTATCATATAGACCCTTGATATATCATTAAAAAATTATCTTGATCGGGCATGAATCCCGAGGCAAAATCAAGCCGGAAATTTCAAAAATTAAATTTGGGATCACATGAACTTCGATTTCATAAAACTTACAGTCAAACTGTGCGTCTCGGAAATACGAA